TGGAGAATCCCATGGACGGNCAAAGAGTTGGACACGACTGAGCAACTTCACTTCACTTATAAGATTCTATATTGAAATTCACATGTGAAAATATAAATGACAATCAAGACAAAATAAGAATTCTCAATAGATCAGGCACACATCAAAAAAGTACAGTGGAATATTTTCTAATTAAATAATCTCAGAAATATTATTTAATCTACCCAGTTTCATGTATTGTTATTGGCCATTTAATGGTTTAATAACAGCATATCTGTGCATATCCCCCTGGAATTTGGCTCACTCAGCTTCTATAAGATTTGCAGCCTTGTATCTCTGTATTTTATTTCAATATTTGCTCGACAGTTCTTTACCAGTTGTTAATGTTATTTCTCTATCCAGTTGTTAAAAAAAGTTATTTTGAAAATAATTGATCTTGGAGGATATAGGATTTTCCACCTAGTTTAGTTCTGTATAGTTTAGTTCATGTGTATTTCTTGTATGGTGTTGTAGACAGTACAATAGCAACCAAAGATGTCTATCTTCTAATCCATGATATCTGCAGATGTGTTACCTTACATGGAAAACGTACTCTCCAGATGTAATTAAGTTAAAGACCTTGAGATGGAGAGGTTGTTCCAAATTAACTGTGTGGTGGTGGGTCCAGTGCAATTACAAGGGTCTTTATAAGAGAGAGGAGAGTCAGAATCAAAGTAGAAAATATGACAACAGAGCCAGAAGCTGAAGCGATTTGAGGAAGTGGCCATGAGCCCCAAAATGCAAATGACCTGGAGAAGTGGAGAGGGCCTTTTTCCAGAAGGAACTTTGATTTGGCACCTTGATTTCAGGACTTGGACCTCCAAAACTCTAAGATAATCTGTCTGTGGGTGGCATACAAGCACCCGTATTTTGAGCGGGTGATGTGCTTGTCAGTGATCTGTTCTTCAATAACTGGTATTCAGCTCTGTCTTCTTTAAGCTGCATGGAAACGCTTTGAATTCTGATAGTTGCTATTTAGGAAACATCTTTCTAGAAAAGTGAAAGTCGCGCAGTCCTTGTCCGACTCTTTGCTCTTTGCGACCCTGTGGATTATACACAGTCCATGGCATTCTCCAGGCCAGAATACTGGAATGGGTAGCCTTCCCTTCTCCAGCAGATGTTCCAGCAGAGATTGATCCCAGGTCTCCCGCACTGCAGGCAGATTCTTTCCCAGCTGAGCCAACAGAGAAGCCCAAGAATGCTGGAGTGGGAAGCCTATCCCTTCTCCAGCGGATCTTCCTGACCCAGGAATTGAACGGGGGTCTCCTGCATTGCAGGCGGATTCTTTACCAACTGAGCTATCAGGGAAACTCTTTCTAGAAAGCCTACTAAAAAGAAACCTATCCATCATTGTTTTTTTTTTTTTAATTTTCTAGAGAAGCAAGTACTTACCACGGCATATGGGCAAATGGGACCAGCCGTCCTCACCACACACTATGGAGCCTGTGCGGCTTCCATCTCGGTTTTCATACCCGGCGTGGCATTCATAGTCCAGCCTGTCGTTGAGCTGAAACCATGTGACATCACTCTTGACTCTGGCATTCACCAGTGCCGGCCTGTCACAGGACTCTGGGGCAAATTAAAAATCAAAATTTTATTTCTACTTCCAAGCACGCAACAAGCCAACACTGATCTTTAATGATCATTATGTTCTGATAAATAAATGACCTTATAGAAAATGCCAGTAATAATAATTTAATAAAAATTGGTTTTAGTTGCATTTTCCTTATATATCTATTTCTGGATAAGTTTTTGTTTAAAATATATATTATATATTTTATGTTATATCTATATATCTCAATATAAATACATTTATATTATATAAATATATAAATAATATATATATTTTATAGTTTACTAAGCTACATATACTAAACTAATTACTAAAGAAAGTATTCAAGTCTCTCCTAAGTGTACAAATATAAACAAAATAGGCAGCGAAATTTAATTTATTATTATATATTATATAATTATTATATAATATTACATATTATATAGTAAATATATATATACGGGCTTCCCAGAAGGTGCTAGTGGCAAAGAACCTGCCTGCTGATATTGGAGACTAAGACACGCAGGTTCGATTACTGGGTCAGGAAAATCCCCTGGAAAAGGGCATGGCAACCCACTCCTGTAGCCCACCAGGTTCCTCTGTCCATGGAATTCTCCAGGCAAGGATACTGGTGTGGGTTGCCATTTCCTTCTCCAGGTGTTCTTCCTGACCCAGGGATCAAACTCAGGTGCCCTGACTTGCAGGCAGACTCTTTACCATCTGAGCCACCAAGAAAACCCTATAGAACTTCAAATTCTACCAAATTTAAAGTTTTTTCCTATGCCTGTTAACTTGATTATAGAGTACCGATATATCATTTTTTATCCCTAAGAAAAACTGTAAAAGTCAGAAATCCATTGTTAGTGTAAGTTTCCCAGAAACCAGAACCTGAAACCTACCCATACCTCTCAAATATTCACAGATTACAAAAATTTCTAGACCTGTTCCTTCTCTGAGCATCAGATCATGGATTCAAAAGAGCTCAGTATTAGTGTCCTTGGACCAGTACACCGTGGATGCAGCTTATTCCTCGGACTCACGACTTGTATTAAAAGGAACAAGAAATCAACTACAGGAGACTGAGAATTTGAAGATGGAGAAGGATAAATGCACAAAGATCTCAGTCTCAAACAAATTCAGCTGTGCCTGAAGCTCAGTAATGGCGTAGGATTGGCAACCCACTGCAGTAGTTTTGCCTGGAAAATCCTGGGGACAGAGGAGCCTGGAGGGCTACAGCCCATGGGGTTGCAAACAGTCGGACAGGACTGAGCATGCAGGCACAAAGCTTTGTAAATCTAATTGGGGTTTTTTTTTTTGTTTTTTTTTTACTCATTTTCAAAATAATGGCATTTCTTCTAGGAAAAAAAAATAGACTTAGGGGAAAGATTATCTCCTTTGAAGACATGGAAAAACATAACTAAAGAAGTTAAATCAATGATGCCATCTAATCTCTGAAGAAGCAAGAACAACTAAAAAAGGTTGAAGTAAACTTCCATGTTGTGGGTTCAGAAAGATGCATAGTAAAGAATAAAATTACTTACTAATACAAGTGGGTTGACTTGACCATCCACCTTGCAAACATTGAACTGTCCCTGATGTTTTTCCATCTGCTGTTGTATATCCTGGTTTACACTTATATTGTGTTTCTTTATTTACAGAATAAGCATATTCTGACTCAGACAAAAACCCATTGGCAACTACAATATCTGTTTTTAAACATTTTTCTGAAAAAAAAAGGAAAATATAAAAATTTATTAAAATTTTTCATAATAAATCAATGAATATGACTATAAAAAGAAAGAACATAAGCCGCCTTTCAGGAAAACCACAGCCTAGAATTATTCTTGCAATCCACATTTTTAGTTTATTAAATCCTCAAAGAAAATATTTTGGGAAACTATATAAAATATTTTACATAGAATAAGGCACATTAAAATTAAATGTGTTGCTCTAGAAAAAACGAGGAAAGAACTCTGGCCGGAGAGTTTTGGTATGCCCAAGAGAAATCCAATTCAGTTATTTAATAATTTTTTATAAAGAATTATGAATGATTTGCAATAAACTGAACCCTTTGCTTAGGTGTCTACACTGGTGTGGACTTCCTTGTCAGTTTGCAGTACTCAAACGGAGTTGTCAGGCTTTGAAATTCAATTCTTGGACTTTGGTTGCCATCCCCATTAAATGGGCTACAAAAACATTTGTGCCATAAGTGAGGCTTATACAACATGAACGATGTTTGGTCACTGGACATTTCAGATATGTCAATAGATTTGTTCTTTTATTTTTTTGGCAAATATTGGTCGTGTTTAAGCCCTCTGTAATTGTAAGAAACCGTGGCCTCACTGTTTACTGAAACACTGTTGTCATTCAAACTGTTTTAGAAAGAGTCTGTCTCCTAAAAGGTTAAATTTAAATATTGAAGATGCGGAAGGATTTTGATAGCATAATTGCTTTTTTAAAAAGCATACCGGAAGACTCCACTTCCTGGTAAGATGAAGTAACTGATATCAGCGTTTGGTCCCACTGGTTAAAAAGCTAGAAAACTGGACAAAACGTATTTCCAGGAAGCTGGAACCTAGGCAGTGCGGGTTCATGATGATCAAGAGAAAGGAGATAACAAAGTCCAAAGCCCAAAGCGGATCTTTGTGAGCCTCCCAGCTCCCAGCGGGGAGAAACCAGGCAGAGTCCTATGGTTTTTCTGAGACGAGAAGAGAAGATAAGGGTTTTGGAGGACCTGGTGGCTAGAATTTATCTGGCTGAGTAACAAAGAACCGGCACTATGATGAGAAATAGCTAAAGAAGTTTTTATGTCTCCTTGAATCTCTGGCTGAATACTACACTGGAAAGATGATTATAAATTATTGTAGATTTATTTAATAGGCGATTATAAATTATTATTATGATTCCAGAGGTCTGGAAGATGCTGCCATGTTATAGAGTTTCCAAGGAATTGTTTTCCAGATTTTAAATCAGTGACAAACAGACATAACTCTCACAAGTACAAAATTTTTAAAAGATAGAAATTGTTTATTGAATCAAGCATGTGAATTTAATATTAACACAAAAGATTAATTATTAACAATTGTCTTAGTTATAAGACATTTTAACTGGTGTTAGACTTTTTTCTCCTTAATATTTTAGTTTTCTAGATATTTATTCTCAGCTAACATAATTTTAATGCACTGTACACAAAAAGTGGGTGTTACTTTAACATAAAGGTACTATCTTCAAGTGCTTATATTCTTGTTTAATATTTGTTTTTATTAAATACATTTGATTTGTGAAGGCAGGCAAACTATGTTACTTGTACATCTATTCAAAGACAGCTGTAACTAAAAAACAAATGTATAAAATAAAAGCAAGTGGTGAAATCTCTATTTAAGACGTGACAATAGATTTATTTCTTTTTAAAAAATATCACACGCTCCAGGGTTGGAGAAGATGGCATTTCACTTACTGGTGGAGATGCATTCAGGAGGGGAGGACCAGCCTGCTTCAGCACAGGTAATGCTGCCCTGGTTATCCGGGAGGCTGTAGCCCTTATTGCAGGTAATTCTAACAGTGTCGCCTTCTAGGTGTGTTTGTCCTGAAGATGCAGAATGACCGTTTTCCACAAAAGGAAAGAAACACACTCCTAAGGACCAAAGGTTGTTTAATGTACCAGATGGAAGCGGTAAAACAATAGTAAAATACATTTGCATTTTACAAGATTTTTTAATGGAAAGCTTTGAAAGCTAAAATTAAGTATGAAAATAAAATTTTAAAAGAAGTTAGGTTTTGCTGCTATGTTGACGAAATATATACTTTTCATACACGTTTCATACACAAAAGGAAGTTAACATTTCACTCCATTGTTCTATGGTTTTTATAATAAAATGTTTTATTTTTATAAACTTTTCTAGGTATAAATAGTATTTTAATGTATGTTTCTCTCTTAATTCTCATAAATATTTTTTTATAGAAAGATCATTATTATTACCTTTGTTGGCTCATTTATTCTGCGCCCCCCCTACATTGTTTTTCTGTTTTAGTACACTTGTTACATCCTGAGTATGCTCTTCACATTTATTGAAGGATTAATATAGACATAATTTTAGGCACAAAAAAAGTAATCTCTGGAAAATGTAAAAGTGTAGATGCTAAATCTTATGTGACCCTTTCAATATTCAAGAGAATGTTACATTTCAAAAGAGAATGGATATGTACAAAGACTTTTTTAAAGAAAAATTGTGACCAGGCTGATAAATGAATATTAGGACATAAATATTAGGAGTGAAATATATTAATGATCAGTTTTAAAACTTAGAACATGAAAGTTCATGTATTTATTCTTCATTTGGTTTTCAAAAAAGGCTTCTCAAAACATGAAGGACTACATCTCTCATCTTTGCTGGCTCCTCTAGTCCTGATCCCTGTGACTATCTGTCAAGACCTTGTGACCCCACCTGCTACATCCTTCTCCACTCCCCGAACAATTCATCCACATCAGGCATTTACTCACTGAGACATTTTGGTGTCGGTGACCATCCTCCCTCTGTGCATGTTATGGGAGTCCAAAAGAATTTTGAAGGAGACATAAAATTATATTCACAGGAATAATAGAAAATTTTCCCAGGAGAAACTGGGAAAGATGCCTTGTATTTCTTTTCATTGTATAGAATTCCATGGTTTATGTTTGGAAAATCACAATGTTTCACTGTGAAAAATAAAACTGAAGAATTAAATATGAATCTACATTTATGAATCATTAAATTGTATTTTAATCATCTTATCAATATTTTTTCTTTCATCTAGCTTAAATTCCTTTAGCTTAATGCCTTCCAGTGTCCTAATTAGTTAAGAACAAAGAAAGATCTCTAATGATGAGTACAGGTGCTAGTGGTAAAGAACCCATCTATCAATGCAGGAAACATAAAAGACTCAGGTTCGACCCCTGGGTCAGAAAGAGCCCCTGGAGGAGGAAATGGCAACCCACTCCAGCATTCTTGCCTGGAGAATCCCGTGGACAGAGGAGCCTGGCAGGCTACAGTCCACAGGGTTGCAAAAAGTGGCACGACTGAGCGATTTAGCACACAGCACATTGTCAGTGAAGGTAAAATGTAGATGTTAGAGTCATGTGAAATATAATGTCCCTGGCAGTATCTTCAAGAAGAAAATTTCCCACAGGTGAGGAGCCAAGCAGAGTGGGACAGCAGTGAGACCTCACTGGTGTGCAGGACGTGCTGGCGTCTCCACTCACCTCCTTTCTCTGCTCTGAATCCTAGTCCTGGGGAACTCCACCTGAAGTCTCTGTCTTGTCTGTATTTTCCTGATACATTGAAGATGAAGTGTTTTGTGGGGTATTTTTTTTTTCTCTTTATTTGGAAAAAGAAAAAAGCAACTTACAGAAACTCAGCTCACAAATTAGTTAACCAGGGGAATTTCCCCTTTCCACTTATCTAGAGGTGATTTTCAATGTTGCACAATATTTGAAGCTAGTAATTCCCATAGTATTTCACCTGTGAAACCTGAAGTTGCTTATCTAAATGTCTAAAATTTTACATTAGATGGTTTCGGAGGGGAAAAAATACAAAACCCTCACACACTGATAGTGAAAGTGAAAGTGTTAGTCACTCTGCGTGCCCAACTCTTTGCGAGCCCATAGACTGCAGCCCGCCAGGCTCCCCTCTCCATTGGAGTCTCCAGGCAAGAATACTGGACTGCGTTGCCATTTCCTCCTCCAGGGGATCTTCCCAACCCAGGGATGGAACCCGGATCTCCTGCATTACAGCCAGATTCCTTACCATCTGAGCCATCAGGGAAGCCTTCACTTATCTCCCATGATTCTTTTCCGGGTATTTCTTGTCTGCCTGTCAAACTATAGTATTCGATTTCCATGCATTTTTACCTACATATTCTTTGCTATGCAGAATAACCTTGCTTCCATCCTCCAAACGTCCCTGTTTTACCCACCCTTCAAAGCTCATTCTTCAACGTTTAGCAAATACTCTTGTGCGTCAGCATCGGCACTAACTCAGTAACTGCTCTTCATAGATCTCCTTTACCCAGGCACCCACTCCGAAAGGAGAAAATGATTTCTCAAGGCTCGACATTCTCACAAAACCTTGTGAGTACATTTCCTATGGGATACACACACACACACACAACCTTGCATTCTATTTACTTATTTACATGGTTTGCTTTCCTCAGTAAGTACCTGAGGGCCCTGGGTGTTGTAACGAGACACGGCGTTTTCATTTTCTTTCTAACTCGTTAGTGCACAGTGTAGTGTTTGATGAATATTTCACTACTGGAAGCGTGAAGAATGTTGAATGATGCAGGTGTTGCTTTAGAGTGGTTCTTTGCACTCCAGCCAGTCTCTCAGTAGGTAAATGAACAGCTGTTGCTGCCGTTCAGTGGCTGAGTCATGTCTGACTCTACGATCCCATGGATTCCCTGTCCTTCACTATCTCCCAGCGTTTGCTCACACCCACGTCCATTGAGTTGGTGATGCCATCCAACCATCTCATCCTCTGTTGCCTCCTTCTTCTCCAGCCTTCAATCTTTCCCCGCATTAGTGTCTTTTCCAAGGAGTGGTCTTTTCTCATCAGGTGGTCAAAGTTTTGGAGCTTCAGCTTCAGCATCAGTCCTTCCAATGAATATTCAGGGTTGATTTCCTTTAAGATGGACTGATTTGATCTCTTTAGAGTCCAAGAGACTCTCAAGAGTCTTCTCCAGCCCCGCACTTAACTCCTGAATCACTTAACTGTACAGCAGTCCCCAACCTTTTTGTCACCAGGAACTGCTTCTGTGGAAGACAATTTTTCCATGGCTGGGGATGAGGGGTGATGATCTGGAAATGATTCAAGTGCATTACACTTATTATGCACTTTATTTCTGTTATTATTGCACCAGCTCCACCAGAGATCATCAAGCATTAGATCCTGGAGACTGGGGACTCCTGACTTAGTATCTATACAACTTTTGATAGAGCTTCTCTAAAAGTTCTACAGGAGACTAGATTGAAGCTTGAACATCTTTTTACATTTTTTACACAATGTTGTCATTGTGCAGTCACTAAGTCATGTCCAACTCTTTGTAACCCCATGGACTATAGCCTGCCAGGCTCTTCTGACCATGGGATTTCCCAGGCAGGAATACTGGAGTAGGTTGCCATTTCCTTCTCCAGGAGATCTTCTCAATGCAGGGACTGAACCTGCATCTTCTGCTTGGCAGACAGGCTCTTTATGACTGAGCCACCTGGGAATCCCCTCAGATTTCAAGTTGTCAAAATTCTACATATGACTATATTTTATACTCATCTTCCTCTGCCCCCCCCCCCAATTTAGAAATCCCCTCTTAATGTCCATTCTTGATGGTATTCAACACAATATGTACCAGCCACATAGGTTAAAAAGAATCAAATACACCCATACATACAGTTTTTAAATGAGGATGTTGTAAAGGTCTAATCCTTACTTTAGGCTAACCAGAGAAGCTGGCATTTTTAGTCGACTAAGCAATGTCTGTTATTGGAGAAAAATACTTTTTTCCCATTAGCTAACTGTAGTCCTCTGATTATAATTCTTTGAAAAATGTATAAACAAACTAGAGTAATTTTCAAGTCTGTAGAAATAATGTTTTGCAACTTTTATAATGGTGGATCATAAAAGGAGGGAATTTTATAGTTCTTATTTTTTCTTATGTTAGGACTGAAGAGATTTTCCCGAAGAGAACAACTATGTGCAAAAATTAGCATCAAAAGAGCAAAATAAATACTTTCTGAAAATCAAATGGTAAAGCTCATGACTAAAATCCCATTTCCACATACAATTTAATCAGTTACCCTAGATCTTGTAGGATATTCCATTTGCAATTACTCAGATGTGATGGATTTTATTTCAACACAAAACAAGATGTGACATTTTAAAAAATACTGTGAGATGTAGTGTTTTATATTAAAGGAGAAGTGGTGTACAATATTTTTTTTCATTTTAAACCTTGCTTAAAAGCTTAGAAGAAGCAAATAATTTATTGGTATCTCACTAGTTTTACTACATATGAAAATAAGGATATGCTCCATAGTTTCATTAAAAGAGATGACACTAATTCAGAAAGATAAATGCACCTCAAACTTCATAGCAATGCTGTTTATAATAGCCAAGACTTGAAAGCAACCTAAGTGTCCACAGATAAATGAATGGGTAAAGAAGATGTGGTATTTGTATATACCATGGGATATTACTCATCTGTAAAGAAGAGGAAATCTTGCCATTTGTGACAATGTGGATGGACCTGGAGAGCATTCTGCTAACTGAAATAAGTCAGACAGAGAAAGACAAAAACTGTATGACCCTATTTACATGTGAGGATTTCAAAATCTAGAAAGCAAAACAAACAAAGAAACAAGACAAAACAAAAACAGACTCATCATAGAGAGAACAAATGGGTGGTTGCCAGAGATGAGGAAGGTGGAGAGTGGGCAGGTTAAATAGGTGAAGAACATTAAGAGGAACAAACTTCCAGTTATAAAATAAATAAGCCACAGCATAAAGAACAGAATCGATACTATTGTAATATCTTTGTATGGGATAAATTGTTATGAGAATTATCATACATTTCATAATGTATGCATACAAACACCAAATTACTTTGTAGTACACCTGAAACTAACATACTATTGTACATCAAATTATAATTTAGTAAAAAATAAAAGATTTTTCTTTGTCAAATGATGATTAGATTGAAGTAGGAAATTCATGAATTTATAATATTCAAACCTTAAATTTAAAAAAATCTATGAAAATTCAAACACATTGCAGGTGTCCAGATTTCCTTGGTATACTTTTCCTGGTCTGTGGCATTGCAGCATTCATGCAGAATTACACTGTCACTTCACCTTTTTACCTTCATCATATACAGATTTTTCAACATACGATTTCTATATTTGTATTTTGTATTTGGTGTCTACTTATACTTCATAACTTAAAGATCATAGAAAAATTGTTTCATTCTATTTTCCCTTAATTGCATATTAGAAAATATTTCCATTAAAAACAAAAATGGTGGTCCTTCATTCCCAATATTTTCACCACTGTATTCATTTAAAAATATATGTACACACAACCAACACACACATTTGAGAGAGGAACTCAATATTCAGAGCTGTTTTCAGGCTTTCAACTTACCTTGTCCCCCCACAGTAGAAATCCATAAGATTAGAAGGACATGAATTGAAAGCAACATGCCTGTTACGGTAGCAGCGTGTAATTAAGGATGGTCCTGCAGTGATGATGTTCCTCTCAGTGCTGCTTCATTTACAGTTATGAGCATGACTGTGAATTCCGTGCATTACCAGGAAGCCCGTGTAGTGAAATCCTTCTGGTAAATATCAAAGTTCACAGAGGGCAATGTGAAATCTCTAAATAATATCTCATCGGGTTTTCGTGTTAATACTCTGAATCCATCATTTGATATTTGAGCACAGTGCTACTAATAGCTGTGCAACTTCTTTATGGTTGCACTTACTAAGTTTCCCAGTTTGAAGGGTTCAGAAATGGACCCCTGAGGAGGAGAGATGAAGCCCCTTCTTTCTTCTTGCTGGCCAA